AAATAAATAAAGCATCTTCGTATTGGAAATTGGTATTCTTCGACATATGCGACAATTTATTGCGCATTTTGCCATTTATTCCTGCGTAGGTAATCTATATGCACAGAAATAGAGGAAAAATAAAAAGAAAGGGCAATATTTGAGGTTGGAAGAGGGGGCGGTGAATGTCAACCGGCCTCCAGGAAGGGGCCTACGCCGGCGGCAGTCGGGTCCGAGATGCTGCCCGTCTACTATCGGAGGACGCCGAGCCCCAGGAGGCCCAACGCCCTCGTCACCGGCAACACTTTTTGCCTTTCCTGTCAGCCTTCCGGCCTCAACTTCTCACAGGCTCTCACAATAAAGTCGCCTAAACCGGTAATTCTACTTTTTTTTTTTAACTTAAAGGGAAAATGGATCGATAAAAATCTTATACGTAGTAAGGCACATGATTGAATTCAATAGGTTCAGCAAGACAAATTATGTACAATTAACGGAGAAACTATCCGGTCAATTATGGATGAGTTACATGAAATAATCTTATCAAATTCTGGTCTTTCTGTTGGACTGTTTCTTTTTTCACAGTATGACTGTGTAGGCTGACGATTTTCGATTTTATCCAGACAACTGAAAAATCCTGGATCCAGAAAAGGTTGAATTTTAACCTTTTTTTATTCAAAAACCTGGCCCCGCATTACGTCGAATTTGTACATGAGCCTTCATTTTTTATAATTTAGCTTTTTAACCAAAAACCTGCCAACAAATGAAAAATATCGATTGTACACTATTTTGTACCTGTCGTTTAGAATTTTGTCCAAAAATATTGTATCAGAAAAGTTAACATTGAACGCCAACATTAATGTATCGTTTACTTTTTATCCAAAAACCTGGCATCACAAAAATATCTAATCTGTATAGTCATTTTTATTTATCATTTCGATTATTATCCAAAAACCTGGCATCAGACAGGACTATCATTGAACGCTAACATTAATTTATGGTTTACTTTTTATCCAAAAACCTGGCCATGCAGAGGTCGAATGTGTACACGAAGCTTCATTTTTTTATAATTTAGCTTTTTAACCAAAAACCTGCCAACAAACGAAAAATATCGATTGTACACTACCTTGTACGTGTCGTCGAGATTTTTGTTCAAAAATCTTGTATCAGAAAAGTTGAACATTGAACGCCAACGTTAATGTATCGTTTACTTTTTATCCAAAAACCTGGCATCAGAAAGGACTAGCATTGAACCCTAACATTAATTTATGGTTTATTTTTTATCCAAAAACCTGGCCACGCAGTGGTCGAATGTGTACATGAAGCTTCATTTTTTTATAAGTTAGCATTTTTTAACCAAAAACCTGACAACAAACAAAAAATATCGATTATGCACTAACTTGTATATGTCATTTAGGTTTTCGTCCAAAAATCTTGCATCAGAAAAGTTCAACGCCGACATTAATGCATCGTTTATTTTGTATCCAAAAACCTGGCAGCAGAAGGGGTTGTGTTTGAACAACTCACATTCATATATCGTTTACTTTTTCATCCAAAAACCTGACAACACAAAAATATCATTATTTATCATTTCGATTTTGTATCCAAAAACCTGGCAACAGAAGGGGTTGTGTTTGAACAACTCACATTCATGTATCGTTTACTTTTTCATCCAAAAACCTGACAACGCAAAAATATCATTATTTATCATTTCGATTTTATCCAAAAACCTGGCAGCAGAAGGGGTTGTGTTTGAACAACTAACATTCATATATCGTTTACTTTTTCATCCAAAAACCTGACAACGCAAAAATATCGTTATTTATCATTTCGATTTTGTATCCAAAGACCTGGCAGCAAAAGGGGTTGTGTTTGAACAATTCACATTCATGTATCGTTTACTTTTTCATCCAAAAACCTGACAACGCAAAAATATCATTATTTATCATTTCGTTTTTGTATCCAAAAACCTGGCAGCAGAAGGGGTTGTGTTTGAACAACTAACATTCATATATCGTTTACTTTTTCATCCAAAAACCTGACAACGCAAAAATATCGTTATTTATCATTTCGATTTTGTATCCAAAAACCTGGCAACAGAAGGGGTTGTGTTTGAACAACTGACATTCATGTATCGTTCACTTTTTGGCATCGCAAAAGGTTCAGTTTAAACCCAAACATTCACTTATCTTTTTATCCAAAAACCAATCAATACAAAATATCGAATTTGTATGCAAACATTTAACTGGTGTTACATTTTTTATTCAAAATCCTACGAACGAACGAGAAATTTGGATTGTACAACCTTTATTTATCGTTTAGATTTTAATCCATACACCTGCAGCTGAAAGGGTTAAATTTGAACATAAACTTTCATTTATTGTTTTGTTAACGTGTCGAATTTATACACCAGCTTTTATTTCTTTAAAATTTCATCCAAGCATCAGAGTTCAATTTGATTCGAACTAGCCATTTATCTTTTATGTTTTTCATTCAAAAACCAGGCAATGCAAAAATGTAAAATTAATACACAAGTTTTTTTTTTTTGCCAAAATCCTAGCAATTGTACAGCAACCTTTATTTATCGTTTAAATTTTATCCATAAACCTGGCAGTTGAAAGGGTTAAATTTGAGCATAAACATTCATTTATCGTTTACATTTTTACCCAAAAACCTGGCAACGCTATAATGTCGAATTTGTTCATCAACGTTACTCTATCGTTTAGGTTTCCATCCTGAAATAGCAAAATTTTCAATATGAACCTAAACATTGATTTATTGTTTACGTTTTCATCCAAGCTCCTGTCAATTCAAAGGGTGAAATTTCACCACAAACATCCATTTATAATTTATGTTTTTATACACAAAACTGGCAACGAAAAAATTAAGAATTGAAACGTACATCAACGTTTCGTTATTGCTAAAATTCGTATCTAAAAACTTTATGAAATTTTTAGACGTTTATTTACCCCCTCATCCCAAATCTTTGGAGTACAACTATCAAAAACTAAGACGTACATTTATAGTTGAAATTTTCAACCAAAAACTCGGAAAATCACAAGTTGGATCATGACCTTATTTAGTTATAGTTTACGTTTTTATCCAAAAACCTGGACGAATGCATGTTTACTTAATCGTTTATATTTTCATCCAAATGTCTTGGAAAATTTATTCAAAGTCCTGCGACTGGCTGACACTATATAAATAATGCCCAATTAAACAAATGGTCGAGCGACAATTGAAAAGAAACAACTAATAATATATTATCAGCCATTATTACAATCTAGAATATAAGCAAAATGAATGAAAAAATATATACTTAGCTAAGCATCCCTAGTCTCATGAATTATATCATAATTTGACTTTTGACGTCGACTAAATGCCAGTCGGTATAAACTTTGAATACAAAGAAAAAGTAATTATCGGACTAAGGGGGTGAACTTAAATTACAAGCCTTGGCTTAGCGGAGTAAACTTTACGTGTTCTTAACACAACTTAGATACTTTTGTGCTTTTTTTGTTTAAATCACCTGTTGAACTGAATTGAACAAGTGCCGTTAAGCGGAACGGAGGATTAATAAAACGTCGGGAATGTAGATAAGGTGCCGATTTACAGCGTTAGGCTGTAAGTTGATAAGCTTATCTCCCTGGAAACAAACACGACTAATCTGGCCCAGGACTGAAAAGCTTATTTTTGAGAAAAATATTATTCCCCCATCACCGACGATAAGGGTCAATCTACCCATCGGAACGGCTAAAGAAGTAGAAATCAAGTGGTTTATGCATTTAAAGCATAATTGTTATGTGCAGTTAAAGCATAATTGTTAAGTTTGAAAAAGGAGAAAACACTTGAACTATAATGTGGGAAAATAGTTTTATGGAGGGAAAAATGATTTTTTTTTAACATGCAGTCATATCAACACGGAAGAATAATGAAACTATGCCAAAGTACAGACGTGTTTTATCATATCAGGAATTCGTTCCTATTGATTTGACACTTGCTATCAATAATCAGTAATCAAACAGTTAATGATGAAATCCATTGAGAAAAACTCACGCTATGCCCAATTTTGGCATACATAATATACAGACTAACCACTGAAGACGGCGAAAAGACGAAACGCGGCCAAGATGATCAGAAAAGAACTTGAAAACTACAAAAATAAACTTCACAATTTAATTTTTTTCATTTTTATAATTATAAAAGGGTTTCAAGCAAAGCTTTCCCTAAAAAAAAGCTCTACTTGGCTTGCAAATGGTCAGGGTTGAGGCACTGAAAAACAGTGTAAAGCATGCATTTTTGAAATAGAAGAAAGACTTTTCTTTTCTGTGACTCGCTTATTCATCCTTTCCTCTTTTTTCTCACTCCCACTCTCTCTCTCTCTCTTTTATTTCTTTCCTGACACTCATCTCTCTCTCTCTTTCTTTCTCATTTCTATCCTCTGTCTCATCTCCTTATTTCGTATCTCTTTCTCCCGTTTTTCACTACGTATTATCATCTCTTTCTTTCTTCTTTCTTTTATTTCTCTCCTTTCTTTCATCTCTTTTATTCCTTCCTCTTTTTCTATCTTCTCTCTCTCTCTCTCTCTTATTTTATTTACTTTCTCTCTCGTCATTCTGTTCTAGGGATTTATAGGTAATATTTAAATTTGGATCAGCTAGGTCATAGTAAGACTTCTTTTTAATTTCAAAACGTTTGCAGCTCACTAACTTAAGCCTTGAAATTAAAATGAAGTCTCACAACGACCTGCTGTACCAATGTTCAAGAAACGCATATATCCCAGAATAAATTACCTATGTAACAATTTGTGCATTTGGTGTAAACTGCAAGTTCCCTGCGACTATGGGACCTTAGCAAAAATAACTTGAGCCAATGATTTATCAACAACTAGACGTTTTGAAAACACGAATATTTGTGTGGTTCTATCTTTTAAGTAGGAGCAATCAAAACAAAGAACCCTTTTGTCCTCGGACGAGAAATTGAACGCTAAGAGCAAATATTATCTGTGAGATAAGTAGGGGGTCGGCCAGGCCTCTCAGTCTCGCGGTTGTCACGTAGCTGGTCGGCAGCAAAATGAACGAAGATCCCGGATTCCAGGAGGCGAAGAAGTTGAGGGTCCGTGAGGCGATCAGGGCCTTCGAGAAGGACAGAAGAGCATCTGAGATCCTGCCAAGGTCCTCCTTGCGGAAGTGGCCCACGTCGAAATTTCCAGCCGAAGATTTAGAAAAGCCAAAGGCGAAATCACTGATCTGGGAAGTTGGACAGAGAGAAGACGCGGAAAAAGACACGAGGGGCGTTTTAGAATGTGACGAAATAAAAAATTGTATTGCAATATGCGAAATTGCCGCACAAGAATACGTGATTGAATCACTCAACGAAGATGGTGGGAATAACGTCCAAAAAGACACTTCCGCCTTCGAAAATGGCACCGATGCACCTTCAGCCGAGACAACTGTCACCCAAGTTCCCGATAGTATTTTCACACGCATGCCGAAGACAGTAAGAACTTTTAATTTATCAGATATAGGCTTTGTTCGGCCGTTGACGCCGGCGTCTGATTCATTTGCGATCAATATGATAAATCATACAATTCCTATGAACTCTACCTTTTCGGAGAGCGTGCCGACGTGACGCCTCGGCATAAAACGCTGATTTGTACAAAATGAACAGCAGAATATCACAACGATCGAGGAGTGGCTCAAGATAAAAAAAAAACTTCTCTGGTCCATTGCGTCATTTGTTTTTATCAATTTCTTGACCTTATCGTCGAATAAGTATAAGCTAAAATCAATTGTAAAAATAATAACGCGTGCCGTAGTTTCAAAATAATTTTTTTTTTTGAATCCTAAAGAATCTTTCAAAGCCTGCTGTCAAGTCAATATTTGCTAATAGAAATTAACAATTGATATATTTTTATTTGGCAGTATTAAAATTTATCATAACTATCATAATGGATTTTATATTTTAAAAAATCTGAAAAAGAACGAATGAAACTGTCATTAGTCAAACTATTTCGACGATACCACGCCATTTTAAAAATCATACACGACATATCATAATAGATATTATGTTCTTCTCCTCTAATAAATGGTAAAGAGTACGGTGAAAACTATTATTAACATCATCAAAGAAGAACGTCCGAAAGGTTAAAAATTAAATGGAGATTAAGGTACTGCCTAATGAGCGAAAATCCGATTCGTATCGCCTACGTCCCAACTTCAGTACTTAGCCATCGCGATCTAGCCCACTGATGCTAAAATTTCAATTTAAAAAAAATTATAAATATAATATATATTATTATATATAATTAATATAATATATATTATTAATAAAAATAATTATTGTATATCACAAAAATTGGAATTGCCAGTGGGCTGCAAGAATTGATGGCTCAACTCTGTGGATGTGTATATGTATATATATTCGTATGCAGATTTGATCTTATACAAAGCTTATATAACCTTTGGGGTGGCATGAACAAGATGTTTGAATTTGAACATCACTCCAGAATAAACCTGGTTATCAAAAAAGATTAGGAAAAAGGAAGAAGCCCTCTGTTAAGAAAGGCCCCCATCTGTTGGTACAATGATGGATCTAGGACGCAGAAGGTATATGGGGTGGGAGTGTTTGGCCCCAGAACAAAAAATCTCAGCGCCAATGGGATGGTACTCTAGTATCTTTCAAGCCGAAATCCATATAATGTACTCAGTTAAATTTGAATAAAGGGTGCAAAAACAAAGGTATCATGTCAGAGAGTCGTGCAGCCATCAGATTAAATCAAACTTGACTAAATTGCAAAACAAAATTAAACAGATTAGATAAGCAAAACAAAGCTACTGGGTACTAGGACACACAGAAGTAGAGGGAAACAAAGAAGCTGATGCCCTCGTTAGGAAACATGCAGCTGATAGGTCCTGAGCCTTTTTGTGGCATAAGGCTCCACATTATCAATGAGCATCTTAGACAAATAGATAGGGTTTGTAGAGTGGATGCGAACTATCACCCACCGTTCTACATTACAGTTATGCCTGTCATATGTATGTGTGCACGATATATGTAGAAACAAAAAAAAAAAAAAATGATTGAGTGTTGGAGGCTGCAATGACCTATATGTCTATTGGCCCAGAGCCTAACATTAGAAGAGAGGATGGAAAAGACCAAAGTATTAACTTATACTGCCAACACCCAACAGCTTTTTCCAAAAAAAATCGTCTGCTTATATTTTTTAAATATTGGTTAATGTTGCAGGGGGACAGAGATTACATTGGTTTTGCCACTTTACCAGAGCAGATCCATCGGAAGTCGGTAAAGAGGGGTTTCGACTTCACGTTGATGGTCGTCGGTGAATCTGGTCTGGGAAAATCAACGCTTATCAACTCGCTTTTCCTAAGCGACCTTTACAAAGATCGAAAGATACCTGATGCCGCTGGTAAGCGACTGAGTCGATTTGCCGGATCAGCAGTTTTCATTTTCATAGGTTTTTTGCAGAAAGGGTTGAGAAAACGACATGCATAGAAAAAAAGACTATGGATATCGAGGAGAGGGGCGTCAAACTAAGACTGACCGTTGTCGACACTCCTGGTAATGACTGTTCAATTTTAAACTTGTACTTGTCATTTTTCACTAATCACAGCCTGAAAATAATTTAATTCAACAACTTATTCTAATTAACAAAATTAATCTATTCACACAACAAATTATACTTAGGTGCTAAGTTGATAAAAAATTAATAAATAAATAAATTTGCTCTGAACAAGTTCAACTTGATTTAGAAAACGTTGAATTAGACTTGGAAAAAGAGTAATAATAGTAAGTCAAATTAGAGTTTCTTTAGTAGATTCAGCATAGTGTAAATCATTGAGGATGAAAAAATGTATAGCACTGATTGATTATTGTTTTAAAGGTTTTGGTGATGCGCTGAATAGCGAGGACAGTTGGAAAGTCTGTGTTAATTACATCGATGACCAGTTCAGACAGTATTTCACAGATGAGAGTGGCCTAAACAGAAAAAACATCGTAGATAATAGGGTTCATTGTTGCCTTTATTTTATACCACCTTGGGGCCATGGGTAAGAACAAACCCATACATTAAGTCCATTACTTAAATAAATAAATAAATTGGTAACAATGGTATTTTAATCAAAAAGTAAATAAAAAGTGTAATATGGCTTTTGCAGCTTAAGGCAGATAGATGTCGAATTAATGAAAAGACTGCACCAAAAAGTAAATATTGTTCCTGTCATCGCAAAAGCGGATACACTTACAGCCCCAGAAGTGAAGAAATTGAAGCAGAGAATACTCTCTGACATAGAAGAGAACAATATTCAAGTAATTTTCACTTAATTCCACGTTCATTTTCACGATTTTGTTGTATTAATTTCAAACCTCCTACCTCCCGAAAAGATCTACCAGTTTCCAGAGTGTGACAGTGATGAGGACGAGGAGTTCAAACAGCAAGACCGTGAACTGAAAGCGTCATTGCCATTTTCGGTCATCGGAAGCAATACTGTGATAGAAGTTGGAGGCACACGGGTCCGCGGCCGCCAATACCCATGGGGAGTAGTCGAAGGTAATTAACAAGACTTTTATTGTACTTTTTATCCATTTTTTTTTTTTTTTTACATCTGCTATCGTTCATTTCAGTTGAAAATCCAAAGCACAGTGACTTCAACAAGCTACGGAACATGTTGATAACGACCCACATGCAAGATTTGAAAGACGTAACTGAAGATGTCCACTATGAAAACTTCAGAGCTCAATGTATTTCGCAAATCTCACAACAAGCCATTAGAGAAAGGGGGTAATTATTAACAATTAAAATAAAGTACATTGGTCGATGGAAATATTTTAGTAGTAAGTCAATATAATCTGGCCCTATTAGAAAGTGAAATATTGTATTTCTGTAATTCAAGTATGATAAACAAAATGCCATCATGTCATTTTGGAGAATATCCACTGCTCCTATCTATGGCAATGCAATTACTAATGTAGTCCACTCACTTGTGCTACACATCGACAGACTTACATAGACCCACACACACAATTCAAAAGGCAAAAACAAAAAAGGCGCTTCCTTCTTAAAAGAACAATCAAAACTGACTTTACAAAACAAATCTCATCTACATTACTATTTTTGAGATCTATTTGGACGGCATCGAACTTTGGGGTTCAACAAATGTTCCAACCTCCAACATATGCAAACCCTACAATCCAAAATCCTCTGAACCATTATCAATGCTCCTTTCTATGTATCCAATCTTACAATTATATTGTCGCAGAAACACTCATGTCAGAATCCTTTCATCCCACACCTTCTCAATTAATCCTCTGTGATGACTGAAGCATCGTGGCCTCGCAACCTCTTCTAACAAAATTGAACAAAGAAGTGAATAACACTTCTAACAAAATTAATTAATGCTAAATACATATTACTAATGAGTAGTTACTAATTTTTATTATTTATATATTTTTTACATTTTGTTTTGTTTTATCTTCTAAGTTGTTATCAAATTTACTTAAGCGCAGTAATTGGTGCAGGTGTAAATAAATAAATTTAAAAAAAATTGTTGCAAATTTCAATTTAAATTAATACCTTAAGAACAAAATAGAATATAAATCATTTATTTTTTTTTACAGTAAATTAAAGAGGGATTCAGTCGTGCCCTTGGAAGGTGGAATTACCGAGACTGACCGTCTTCTTCTTCAAAAAGATGAAGAAGTGAGTACAAATTTTGTTTATAAAGTAAATAAAGTTGAAATTGAATGATCAGAGATGTATATATTCATAAAATCCGAATATATTTCTTCTATTTTCTTCTCTGATGAAACATTCGTAATTTCAGATCCGCCGGATGCAAGACATGCTGGCGCAAATGCAACAAAAACTCAAGGCGACAGGACAGAGCAATGATAACATAGTAAACATTTAACTTAGGAAAAGAAAGAGTGTGTCACTTTCTTTCTTAATCAATGCATTATCGATATATATCTCTTTTCCTTTGCAAAAAAAAGAAATACTGTTATAACATTAAGGGGTTTAGATGTTTTTATATCATAAATGACCAAAGATTTAAGGGTTTCCATAATTTATTATAAATAAATATTTCCAAAGAAATGATGTCTATTATATTCATTTTGTCGATACAAAAAAATTGGAAATGCCACTTTGTTAATTTTTTTTTTAATTATGAAAATTCATTAATGTTATTTATATTGAAAATATTTATTGATTTCAATGTGTTTTAAAACACAGTTTTAGTCATCTTGTATTTGTACAAATATTTAGTTGTGATTTGTAAAACATGTCCATAGTTTAATTGTTATTTTAGATAATTTTAGTGTGTACGTTATTTATAATACTATCCAGTATTAAAATGTCAAAGACTTGTTTAGTGTTCAAATTAGCGAATTTAAGACTAAAAACTAACTTTTCATTCAATTCAGTCATTGGACGGTTCAATATTGTTCGACTCGTATTTTCAAAAGGTTTGAGGTTCATTGGCGTCAGTTTGTACTCGACAGAAGGAAACTCAAACCAAACTCTGCATCTTCTGTGAAGCTACAATTTTCTCAAGTAGTTCAAAACTTATCCACTTTTTCCCATGTGCATTTATCATGTAATTTTGTTATTGGTTTTATAATGCAATAAATATTGCTATACGAGTTGCAAAGTTTTTTATTTTATTTTAACATATATCTTAGAATTGCAGCTTATTTTATCATGTATCAAATAAAAATGATAAATATAAAAAAACAAATAAATAAATAAAACTCTGTTTGAGTGATGTCGAAAACTACTGGTTTTAGACAGTTTAATAGATAATGATCGTTGAACTCAAAGACGAATGAAACGAGGTGATAACTGTTAGATTTATGCATGTGTGACAAGCTTGTAGTTTGGTCATTACTGATTGTTGGTCTATCATACGCATTTCGACCCAGTTAGGAATAAAAAAACTATCAGTAACAACCAAATTAAAAACTAATATACTTCTTCAAACTGTGGGTACCACAATTGATAAAAATTTATCTTTTATAATGAGTTCATTACGGATATCACATTGTAATAAGTACCAACAAAAAAATTATTTTCCTTATTCAACTGTATTTGTTTGTCAATTGAAGGTGAGAAAGTGCCGAAAAGAGTACCAGTACAGTAGCTGTTCCTACTAAAAATGTACCAATAATAATAAACATTGGATTATAAAAGACTCACTTTATAGAATCACCCTTTGAGGTGGAACACTTAAAAAATAAATTGTAAATTTTTTTCTTGGGGCCAAGGGAAGATGAAATTCCGGTCGTTCCATTGTGGGTTTGTGTCATTACCTCATCCTGTGAGTATTGCTCATTACCACCATTACCTCCAGAGTATTGCTCAGCAAGACATGTGGTTTGCAAAATAAAATAAACACAATGGCATTGTAAACATTCACATTAAAAATGTCTTGTTTTAGAGTCAAAGAATAATTATGATGTGCAGTATGATAGTTGGTATGTAGTTTGGAAGACTGAACAGTTGTATGAAAAACCACGACACTCGCTCCACCTCCACGAATACCTCTGATCTACACATTTGTGCAGAGCATAACTGGATTGAACATGAGACCACGTTAAATAAACGCAACTTAGCCGGGATCTGGGGCTGCATTATAACTCTTTGTCAAACAGAATTAAGGTCAAACTTGGCCAAACACGACTTCTCTGAGAAATTTTAAAGAAGATGAGAAGTTAGTTGCATCCCTAGGCATGTATAGCGATTTACCAGTTACATGTCCTGACTGACCTTTATATTTCCAACGCTCTTTTGAGCCAAAACTACCTCCCCTGTGGAAAACAACTATCTTCGACTTTTCCAGATTCATTCTAAGATTCCATGTGTCACAGTATTCCTAGCTTGGTAATATTTTTTGTAAGCAACATATGTTGTCAGCAAAGGATTACTATGTCGTCAGCGTACAGGAGTGTTTTTACGTCTCTACGTCCCACTGACACTCCCGTCACCAAAATATCCTTGAAATCATTCAAGCACAAAGCGAATGGTGGAATATCAAATACCCCATTTAGGTTAATTGAAAATTTGTGTAAAGGTTATGTTGAGAGTGAATGTATTTATTAGCATGAAAGTGTGGTGTAAACGGTGATGGAGGAATATCGAATATTCCATCACCCTAATTTAATAATGGTATGTAAATAGGTGTGAATGCATTTAAGAATGAACATGAGTATGAATGGGTTTGGAACTAAATGCGTCTGAATTGACCTAGGTAGTGGACAGCACCTCCTCAGAGCCCAACCCCGATGACTAGATGTATAAAACTGATGTCTGCTCCCAGACTGCCAACCCAGGTGGATGATTCTCACTACCGGCAATTTATTGTAATTAGCACAAGCTGGAATTGCCAGGGGACTACGAGAATCGAATAGGCTCAATCGGCTCATGTTTGTATGTACTTACATGTGCGGATTTAAGCATCCAAATCCAAATAACACGAATAGGAAGGGACTTAATAGACAGCCTTGCCTAACTCCACCGCCAACCTTAAAGGCTATCGTTCTGCCAAACACGGAATGACAATTCACGATACGTTGAACAGTTTTAAGAACAAATCATATCTACCTACCGTATAAAAAGCTTTTCAATCAACAAAAAAAGCGTAGTTTTCTTCCTTTTATACGTAATCGCATTTTGATAACATTAACCAAAACAAATGCAATAGGCCGTCGATATTCCTTTTCTAAAGCCGGCCGGCACTCTTTGAGGCTTTATTCAATTCGACAAACGATACCAATCTTTTTAAAAGGGGTCCACAGAAGTTTGCTTAAACAGTTCGAAAAGGATAATCCACGGTAGTTTTTGGCTTCATATGTCGATCCCTTTTAAAATGGGGCAAAAATTATAGATTCGTTTAAACTAGTAGGAACATTTCCTGAAAAAATATATTTAATTGAATACCTGGAGGGGCTGTTCCAGCACATTCTTAAAAAACTCATAGATCACTGTCTATTCCCGCGGCTTTGATGTTTTATGCTTTACCAAAGTATTAAATACAATTCATCCAATTTAAAAGCACTGTCTACTTCGCGAGTGAGAATTGCGGACTTATGGCGGGGCATATCAAGTATCAACCCAATCGGCCCCCCAGATCTCACTGTCGATTTCACGTCCTAATTTTCTAGTCTTTCACAATATTCCAAAAATATTTACCAAACAACCTTTTTGATATTTTTTAATAGCTCTGGTAATATTAAGTTCTTTTTACAATAATTAAATTTTTATACTCATTATGTGCTTCTGAGTACGCCGACTTGATAATCTGTCATTTTTATGACACAGGTTAACCAATTTTCACGCCATTTTTCTACCTTCATAACGTTCCCGGTCATACCATGGCATCCAAATAGTCTGCTTTTTAACTTTACCAACTTCTTTATGCCAGATAGCTGATTTTCTTTGACAAATTTGAAAAAAGGGACATGGCTCTCTCAGTGGCATATGTTTCAACGTCACATTTTTGCACCTCTTTTGAAAACATTTCTTGATAAGCAGCTTTATTGTGTCTACACTCCACTTAATCTGGGGAAGCAAGGTAATAATGATTTTTCTATCAAGCTTCCAATAACATTAATAAAAGTTTACAGGGAAATGATCAGAAAACACTACGCACCCTATAGAGAAGTTTTGAATAATTTTTTATTTTTTTTATTTTTATTTTTTTTTATTTTTTTATTTTTTTATTTTTTTTTTTATTACAATCTGCAATTATTATTTACAACATGTAATTTGCGGATACATGAACAACTATATATATATGTACAACTATTTACATTGAGGGGAGAAAATAGTCAGTGCTATCCTCCCTCTTCACTTTGTTTTTTTTTTTCAGTTCACTCGGAAAGGAGGTCGCGGGGCCATTTCCTCTTAAGACGCCTTATGGGGTTGTAGGGATGGGTTCTATCGGACAGGGCTTGGGCAAGACTATTTGGATGGTGGGAAAGTTTTTTGTGAAAGTTGGTAAATTTTTGGGGAATAACTTTTTGGATATAAGGAATTTGAAGGTCGTTGTGGAGGGTAGCATTGGAGACATAATAAGGAGCATTTACAATGGATCTGAGGACTTTAGATTGAAAGGATTGGAGCCACAGTTCTATCCCGTACGTCCAAATCGGTTGTAGTAATGTTTTGTAAATTGTAAGTTTGTTTTTTGTTGATAGTTTAGACTGTCGTCCTATGAGTCTGTGCAGTAGACCATACCGTCTGTTTAGGTTTTGTCGTGTCAGTCGTGTATGTTGATTCCACGTTAGTCGTGAATCTAGGTGGAACCCAAGGTAGCGAACGCAGTCGGATTTGGGGATGGGGACGTTATTGTAGTATATAGTGAGAGGAGGTTTGCTTCGGAGTGTAAATGTGACATGGACGCTCTTGCTTTCGTTTATCTTCATTTTCCATTGTCTACACCAATCTGCTATACATGATATATGTTCCTGCAGATCTTCCGAAGCAACCGCAGGATCGGAATTGGAGGATAGTACGGCTGTATCATCGGCGAAGGATGCAAGTAGGGTGGTAGGTTTAGTGGGAATATCTGCAGTATAAAGGATGAAGAGGATTGGTCCGAGCACACTGCCCTGCGGTACTCCCGCGGCCAGAGAGCAGTATTCGGAGTAATCTGATCCTTGTCGGACCCGAAAGAACCGCTCTGTTAGATAAGAGCGGAGGATTAGGTAAAGAGTATTTGGAAGGACACGCTTTAGTTTGTACAGGAGTCCCCTGTGCCACACGCGGTCAAACGCTTGTGCCGCATCAAGGAAAGCTCCCATACAATATTCTTTGCGCTCGAGGGAGGAGGATATACGGTCAACAACGCGAAACACTTGCTGGACTGTGGAGTGGTGGGGGCGGAAGCCAAACTGATGATCGGGGAGGAGGTTAGACTTTAGTTGTGGCAATAGCCGTTTAAGGAGAATTTTTTCAAATACTTTGGACATGATGGGAAGTAAACTAATTGGTCGATAAGATGAGGATTTTTGAGCTGGTTTGCCAGGTTTCAGGAAGAGGATGATGTTGGAATATTTCCAAAGTAAGGGAAAATGGGTAGTGCGGAGTATACAATTGTAGAGGTATGTGAGGAATATAATGGCTTTTTTAGGGAGTTGTTGGAGAATTTGGGATGTTATCAGGTCAAAACCAGGAGCTTTGCCTTTCGGTAGACGAGACAGGATATACTTGACCTCGGCGGGAGTGACGGTTTTCGGAGGGAGTGACATAGGAAGGGGAGATATAAGGAATTCGTCAATATCTGCTTCCATTGAAACATTGCCGGGCTCGGGATGAGGAGTGAAGGTTTCTTGGAGATGTCGAGCAAATGTATCGGCTTTTTCTTGGTTGGATTTGGCCCATGATCCATCTTCTCGACGGAGGGGAAAGGATGGGAAGTGGTGTTTTAGGATTCTTCTCGTTGCTGCCCAGAGTGATTTATTAGAGGTCGTAAGGTTGGATAGGTAGGAGTCAAAAGCTTTGCTCCGGTAGATTTGTAATTCTTTTTTAGCTAAACGGGATAATTTATTAAAGGATTGATGGTCGGAAGGATGCCTTGATCTCTGCCACGCGGCTCGGGCTTGGCGTTTTAGGTACAGGAGGTTTGCAATGTGTGATGGGAGGGGTTTGGAT